CACACACACACACACACACACACACACACACACACAGTTTCTTTAGTCTGCATAACAATCATGTAAAATAGGTATTTTGAAAGCAGTATTTTGTAAATAAAGACCAGGGCAGATGACTGTTCCCTGAGGACAACATTGTTCAGCCCCAGCAGAACTTTATCTTTTCAATAAATTCTTTTTATATGTTACTTCCTTTCAGGTCCAAGTGTGGCAGTGTGCTTATTAGTACCAGCCTTGGCACCAAACCTCATCAGAACTGAAAGTAGATACAGCACCTGTGCAGAGGGGAGTCCCACTTTATCCTGACCAGCAAATAGCATTAAAACTGCTATTGGTAAGAAGACATTAAAAATATATACGTGACTCTTCTATGGCTCCCCACACAGGCAGTTGCAATGGTGAACTGGAAAGCAGAGCACCTTGATTCTGAATTTCTATTTTTTTTTTTTTTTTTTTTTTTTTGTCTAGGCACAAGTTCAATGTATAAGTATTGGATACATCTGTGTGCAAAAATGTAAAAGATCACTAACCTTCACTGGGGAGACAATTGCATTTATATGTATTTAATCTGTCTAGAAAGAAGTGCAGGGTGTATTTTTTTGAAAAAAGATTTTTAAAGAATTAGGTGGTATATGTCTTTTCCTCTTTTCTCGCTGAATGGTAAACCCAGTCTTCCAAAAGCAAATGTTAATATAAGTTCCAAGTTTACAATTTCAAGTTTGATTTTCTTTGGCAATATATTCTGCATGATGATTTTGATCAAATGCCCCAGCTTCTAACATTTGTAACGCATGATAAAATCCATCCCAAAAAAGCTCATATTTAAGTAATCATATAATAAGTTAAATGCACGCTGTGATAGAATATGAATTATCTGACAGGCTGCAGAGTAATACAAGTTTAGTCTGGAAGACAGGAACAAGCACTGAGCAACTGAGCATTGAATGTAAGAGTGCAATCCTTTGCCTACTTCTATTTAAATGAACAAAAAAGGGTAAAATGAGATAGATTGTTCAGACCTTGACATAAGGCATCCGGCTGTAAACTCATTTGCTAATTGTTTAAGATTAGCACCACTGAACCAAGATGATTTAAAACACTGATTTGCTATGGGGGGCCAGCTACCATTCCTAATTCTCGGTCACTCTAGGCCTTTGTAGTGCTGTGGGTTCAATGTGTTTACTTGGTCTTTGTATGAAGGGAGATAGAGAATAATATTATTAATCATTGAACCTTCCCTCACCTTTTCCCCCATGAGTAACATGCCTAATGAAAATTCAAGCTGTGCTGCCAAACTGATATTGGCAAAAGAGTCACTTTTCCTTTGTCTGATTGGATAAATATGCAGCTGGTTTTGGAATCAATGCTACTGTGAGTGAAATTAAAAGATGTTACTTTAAAATGCTTCTGTATGTATGTAATGGACTTTAGTCACCTGAAATGTCATGGCCAAGAAATGCAGAAGATGTAAGACTATGAGCAGTACATGTAGAAAATCAAGGGAATGCTCCTACTTAATATTTTGGCTGTGTTTAAATGTTTTTGCCTTTTGATACAGGTTCCTTTTATCAAAAAACACTATGTTCAGTTTAAAAGTGGCCCAAACCAACTGTAGTTGCAGGTTAAATTTCTTGCCAGGTTTGGAGCTTTTAGTTCTGTTTTAATGTTTATTTTTAAAGGAAATCGTTCCATTTCTATAAAATAGAAAAATCAAATATACGCTATGCTATGTAATTTCTCATGTTCCAGAAGTTCTAAAAGGATTTCCGGACCAAACTGTTCTGTTCTGAATTCATTCCCTGTGCTTTGATCCTGCTGGTGAGAAATCCATTGTGGGTATGTGGCAGGGAGGCCCCGCTGAGCGCAGCACGCTCCCCGCACGCCCAACGCCTGCGGCCGCAGGGGTTCTGGGGAGGGCTCAGAAGCTGCGCCAGGCACAGCCACATCTATTGTGCTTCTTCTTCTGAGAGCAGCAAACCTTCCTGTACCAACCAGACCCCGCTGACCGCGGCGTCTCTGCAGCACAAACCCTGAATGCAAGAAGATAACAGCTGCTATCACAGTGCTTTTTATCTGGGAGGCAAAGTCTAAAATTGCATCTGACCTCGGTGTGCACAGAGACGCCAAGCAAGGAGTGCTCTGCCTGGATCCTCAGAGGGTTTAGATTAAATCACTAAGAGTGAGGTACCTACATAAATAGTTCTGGGGATAATAGCTTCTGTGACTTCTAGTTTGTGTGGTACAAAGTAGACTCCAAACTGTAATTTATCAAATAATATATCGTGGGCCTTAGAAAACACAGCTCGGCTTTTGTGTTGTTTTTCCCCTAATAGGTTTACTAATATATAAAATTATGACACTATTTTGTTATAGAATCGTTCATGTAATTAAACTAGCTATGGTAGAGATTTAAATTGTTTATTTATAGGTCAAGCTTCTGTGTGCCCTAGGTCAAGGGTTTTAGCAACAAAGCTCCATAAGAATAGAATTTCTTAATAATGCCAATAGCCTACGTATAACAAAAAGTAAATAAGCACATATTGGTCTGTTGAGTGAGTGAGTATGCAAATATCTTTGCATATCTATGTTCCTGTACAGCACAGGCTTAGGGAAAAGCAGATCAAAACCACATGCTACGTTTCCAGACAAATAATCTTTTTGAGCTTTGCCAAGGAAACAGAATGAGTTCTTATTTTTCTTGTATATTGGGGTCTGCTTTCTTGCCTGGTCATTTGTTTAGAATTCAATGGGAAAATAACAAAGCTAAAACTGACACAGTACAAAATGAAATTAATTGGAATTCTGTTCCTCCATTATAAGACTTGAAATGAGATTTAAATCAGTGTGTGGTTGGTAAAACATGACAATTTGATGTCTGTTCCATAAAACTGACAACCACATCTAGTTGTTTTTCTTCTGATCAGATAATTTGTTCAAACTTGGAGAATATCTGACAGTTACATAATCAGACTGAGATTTATTCAGAAAATTACTACATAGAGAGGGAAACTCAATTAGTTTTGTCAGCAAATATAAAGGCACTAGCTTGCATTTCCAGAAACTGTCCAAAGGTTTTACAAATACTCTTGATTCAGCTAAAATCAAACTTGTTATATGCTGGGCTCAAAAAACTACTCATTAAAAGAACATTATTTGTCTTATAATGTCCAAACCTGAAAAGATAGGAAAAACAGAAATTAATAAGCAATTGCTTTGACGAACTGGTGTATATATATTACTGTAAAATTTGCTCACACTCTTGTTGAGCAGCTTTTGTTTAGTATCTCAGCTACTTAATATCTTTTTTAAACCCACTGTATGGACATAGTGTTTTCTTGATTCAAATTCTGTGCAGAGAACCCTACTGATTTCTGTTTTCAGTTCTTTTTCCCTTGTAGTTTGGGTCACTGCAATATTTCCAATTCCTTCACAAATTCCAGTGGTTATTTTGCCAGTATCTAGGATAAGGTACAAGGTGGTGATAACCTTCTTCTGCATATGGGGTGCAAGGCAGAGGGAGACCTCTTATTTCTGAGTGCGTTGTTTGGGAGGTAACTAGGATCTGATTTGGTGAAGAATCAGTAATAGAGAACTTTGAAACTTGAAACATCACTTCACTTGCTTTCTGCTCCAGCTCTGACTGCCCAATAATTTTGTGAATCATAACTCAATTAGAAGCAGCTGGAAAATGAGAACACAGTCAACAACCACATGTGAAAAGTATGGTTTAGATGCCCTACTAAATACAAGCAGGAACTAGCTGGTAGAATCTGAGGAAGTCCAGTTTTTTCAGGTTGCACTGAACAGTGCTGCTCATGCAAGCTTCTTTTCTCTTTGTATACTATCTTTAATGCTAATTGGTTAATTATCACAATAGTTCCTGAAATTATTTATTGGTTTTCTTTCCAGATATAATTTGTTGAGTTGTCACAAGTCCAGCTTTTCTGATTCAGAGGTACTCATCACTTGGAGAAGCAGCAGTAATCCTCTAGCATTATTGCCTTTTTTTTTTTTTTTTCCAAGATTTATTATATAAGATTTACATTTGGTTTTGAGTATTTAGGGCATTTGTATGGCTATTGACCAATTTTATAATATTTGTGTAATTAGTGTCAGTAATTACATTTTCTTGTGCTTCTCAGTCATAAGAACCAAAAGCAAGCTCTTGTAGAAATTTGTCTTTAATGTATGTGTTTAAGAATGCAGAGAGGCAGCGAGAGAAGGTGAAAGAAAAATGTGAGAGGACACTCCAGAGCTTCTGTAAGTAGATAATCAAAACTGCTATAAAGAATAAATCTTAAGAATTTACTACAAATAAAATTTGCAGTAAAAGCCTAATCCTGTATATACTGAAGTGATATTTCTACTCACTTGTTTACAAGACCTGTTAACCAGAAGAGAAGCAAAATATATAACTAAGCATTGAAACATGTGTTTTAGCATCACTTAATGAAAATTTCAGCTCTTATTTTTAAGGATGTTAAGTATACTTCCATTTTTTTTCCAACCATTATCTTTCATCTAGTTTTCACTAATTATTACAGGTACCAAGCTAGGTTTTGCAGTTATTGTCCAGGGATAGTTCAAAGGTATGAAAGCATAATTAACTTAGTCAAGAAGTTGAAGTTTAGGACAGAAAAAAAAAAGAAAGTGCAGAGAAATCACCTTCTTTCTTTTTTAAGGAATTCTGAATTTGGAAGCAATATGCTGATGATCTAGTATACAAAACTTCACAGTTGCCAAGACGCTTGTATTTACCTATGTCAGCGGGAGCTCCTCCGGGTGTTAGTGGGAGAGGAAGAGGACACTGAAAGTGTATTGAATGAACTGGATGGCACAGTCAGTGCCCTCAGCTGGGAGTCTCCCAAGGTTCAGGCATTATGGCACTGGTACAGCCCAGAGCTTTTGCTCGTTCTCTGCTCCCAAGAATTGCCACATGACAGCACACGGACGAGAGGCAGCGGAGCTGCAGGAGAGGGGCGACTCTCAGAGTTACTTACGTTGACAGCCCAAGCTGTGCCAGATATATCCCGGCAGACATTTATCACATTTAGGCCCTGATGCTCCCTCCTTACACTCACAAAATCCTCTGTCATTACAGCGATCATGGACTGAACCAAAAGGGTTACAATAACAGTCTGCAGAAACAAGACAACACATACACACTGGATTCAGGTCTACATGTGGAGATAATTCATTCAATACCAATAAAGGGTGCATTTCCAGTGCTAAAGGAAGACTGTCTATTAAGGATATCTAGAGTAGTGAATATAATTACTACATGTCCATATATTTGTTTGCACATGTCATTTCAGGAAGAGACATTTTATGATGCAAAGAGAAAGAGTAGATATAAAGGCAGGAGATACCACGGTCTTTGAGGGTGATCGTTACAGATTCTCTTTGGCAAGAATATTTTTGGCAATTTAATGAACATTAGAAAAGCTTTGTATAGTATGGATATATCCAAGTGCCATCAGGGTGATTGTTTCACTTTATTAAAATAGGCTTATCTGTATTATTCAATATTTTCAGAAGTGCTGGATATCTTTACAGTGCTATATAAATGCACTTTACTTATTTCCAAGATAGTCTTCCTTTATAGGTTTGAGCAGTATAATAATTTATGTGAATATTTGCCATTAAATCGATGAGATTGTATTTATCAGTGACATTTATAAACCTTTTGCATATTCTGCAATGAAAAGCTTGAGGTGAGCACTAATGTAATGCAAAACCTTTAAGAACGGGCTTTATGCAGCCATTTTAATTTCTCTCACCTCCCAGCGTGCAGATGGAAAATGCAGTGAGGCTCATTCCCTGCTGTATATTTTTCACATGTGTTCAGCTAATTAAAGAATAAGTAGGGTAACACATTTCCTCCCACAACACTTTCTGTGTTGTTCATTCACAGCCCTTTTCTTTCATGTGATTACAATATCTGTGTTTAGCTTTCAGCCAGCTGAACAATGGCAAGGAGCTCACAGAGCTCATTTTTGGCACTCCTGTTCTTCACTTTGGTTATTTAGATTTTTTTTTTTGTTTTCCAATGAAGGATTATCTTATTTGTATGTAGACCCATGTAGACCCAGAGTAACTTCACTGTTAACTGAGACCACAGACACCTTTTGGAAGCATCTGATCTCTGCTGCTTCCTGATTTGGGGCAATCTTCTGGGAGTCTGGATTTATATGTCTGTGAATCATACATATAGGAGTACTTTGATACTACTATTCCCTTGCATTAGGTTAAATCTCAGTGGTATCATAAATGAAAAAAATGGAGATGGACTGGGAAGTTACATATGTCTATATATATATCTCCAATGAAAAAACTAACAGGAAAAAAAATTACCAGAAAGACATTTGTCATCTGTTGTCTCACTGTTTATTAACTAGAAATTACAGATGGCACTTTGAACATTTGGGATGCTGAAGAAGAATAGTTACCTTTGGCAAAAGGGTTCCACAATAATAATAGAGTCAATTAACTGGCAACATTCATTAATGAAGTGGAAAACTGACATGCCAAAAATACTGTGCAAGGCTGAGTATTATAGCAAAGTGCATGCCATTTGAAAAGCTGGGAATTCTAATGTTAATCAGATTTATCACATGCTTATGTAAACAGGCATAGACTTGAGATACATTCTGTATGCAGGAAGAAAAATTTGCTTGAAGAGTATTTATAGAAAACCTTGAAAGACAAAAGCTTATAATTACATTAAAAACAGAGGGCCCAATTCTTAAAAAATTAAAATTCTTAAAAAGAATTCTTAAAAATAGCTTTGTTATACATAATGGAGCTACAGTAATTTAAACAAGTATTTGTGAAAGAAATGTATAGCCTGTGATATTGGATGTTATGTTATGTTTTCCAGAGAACAAGACCCTGAACCAGTGAAATCTTTCCTACTCACTTCTATCACATAAGCACGTGGGAAGTTCCAGGCCATATCATGCTATTGAAGGGAAAGTAAATAGAAACAAAGCTCTAAGCCAGGGTCTTTTGCAAAATTAATAGATCCAGTCAGAACACCCAATAGACTGATTCTAGCTTCCATCTTTCCCAGTTGATACCACAGTAACATAACCTACAGAGGCCCACAGAACATCCAGGGTCACTGTCCAACAGTGACCTACAGTATCACAGGCTGTGGAACACTTCCCAAGGCCTGCCAAATACTTAAGATATTAAGAATTAATGTCTTAAGACATTAAGAATCTCAAAGGTCACAATTTCACTGTGCCACAAGGAGGCAGTAAGTATCTCCAATGCCCTGACAACAACAGGGCACTAAATAACACTAAACTAACACTCACAGATCACCCTAATAAGCAAACCACACACAGGTTCCAGGATGGGGGAAAAAGTCCCTGCAGATCTGAACCAAGAAAGAATTTTTGTCCTAACCTTCGTGTGGAAACTATTTGTAAGGAAAGGAAGATAACAGAAACTGTAATCTGTTCACTGGGGTTCACTCTGTCAATATGATGCTTCAAACAAAAACACGATGAAAGTAAATCAAAAAGGAGGTGGGGAAATGGGCTGAGGCTTGCAGGCTTGCTGCTTATCAGTCTGGGCTGATAGTGGCTGCAGGACAACCCCAGGGTTCACTTAACCACTTGTCATAAGGGCTTCTGGTGTTAACTGAGGCTTAAGCCGAACTGACTGCAAGGGTGGCTTTGTTGAAAGTGTGACAGGAATCACCAGTTCACTATTTATACTGTGAGGCAAAGGCCATGTTTTATTACTCTGGGTCTACTTGGTGGTTTCCATGCTATTCTTGCTTGTCAGTGTGTGCATTCACTGAAAGTGACTAGGGCTTTATCAAGAAATAAAAACCTCTTCAAGCTGTTAAATTCTTTTTTACACCGAATGAATAATTTTTAACTTCGGAATACCTTGATTTATTCTGAAACTGCAGTTGCCCATTTCAGGTAATTTTGCGGTTAATGTACAAATCCATAAATTTTTGATATTTCATTTTAGGAAATAAAATCTATTTTGCTTCTAAAGAAATTAAGGGCATCAAGAATTTAGATTTAAGCCCACTGTATAATACATTGCATTTGGCTCACTGGTAAAAACCTTCCCAGTACTTGAATTCTTTAGTCTTAAAATTTAAACATTTTACATTTGCTCCATTAATTTAGCATCAGCTAAGATTCACAGATTTGTTATTCATGTACTTACCATATGTATTTCTGAAAACTGTGAAGCAGTTTTTGATAAATCAGACCCAAAGCCCTATTAGCTGCCATTAAACTAGCTTATCCAAACAATTGTTACCTTTCTACATATATGACTGAAGAGGAAAGAATTAGCCTGATAAAATGACTTTCATACGGGAATAAGATTTGCACATATCACTGGAAATTTGCTTATCAAAATGTTCATGCCAACATTTCACTTGTAGTTAAACCACAGAACACTGCTTTTAACCTTGGAGAAAAGAGAAATGAGCGTTTCCAATAGAGCAAGACTGTGCTTGACCTAGAAGGGTGGTGAATACATCAACTCCCTCACAGGTGAAAATACTCTCCACATTTTGCCCAATTAAATATTAGGAGCCCCAGATCAAGACAGCACTTTAAGAGCAAACTTCTCTGTATTCTGAAAAGGGCTTAGTGGAATGTCAGCAAATGTTTCACATTGCCTTTTTTTTTTCCCCCAACTCTAGCTAAATAGAAGATTTAAAAAATTTATTTCCTCAGTGTCTTGGCAATTTCAAAGTGCACAGTTGTCTTACCATGACATTTTAAATATATAACTCATAAATTAATTTTAAAATTACTTATTTTTGGCTTTTTGTTTACTAACTTCCTTGTCTTATGTAGCTACAGCTGCTGTCTTAGCATTTCAGTGTATATAGGAAAACAACATACTGAATGAACTGATGAAAAATTCCAAACAGAGCAATTTAGAGTCATATTCATTAGGCCTGTTTAGGCAGCTGAAATTATACAGTCCTGATGTCATACCAATGATGTCTGTCATCTACATCAAATAAATATGTGGGACAGTAGTTTTTTTCCAAGAACATTTGATTGTGTTAATCTCCTCAGCACAGTCATACAAAATCATGACTTGCCTACTGAAGTTCTTATTAGCTGTGACTAATTACTGGCAAAGGAGATCACGCATTTCCTGAATGCATTGCCAAGCAAAGTTAAAAGAAGGACACATGAAATGCAGTGCATGGATGGATCTGTGTGTTTATCGCAAGATAAAAATGTAAATCTGTCAAGTTACAAACTCAAATAATAGCCACCTACATAGTTTCTGGCTTGAATCTCGGCAATGGATTATAAATTAAAATATAATTTATTCACCTGTAGTCTATTTTGGTTTTACAGTAACTCCTAACTATTCTGCTTCCTGGAAGATGGAGAGAAAAAAATCACAATGAAAATCCAGAACAGGTCCTACTGATGCTTATGTCTATAAGAAACATTATATAATTAAGTTCTTCACCTCTGTTTGTTATTAGAACAGTGTCTTTCTTTAGTGGCTATCTGTTAATTACTGACCATTGTACAAGGCTTCCTTTAATGACTATGTTAAGGCTTCACCTAAAGTGTCCTCACTTTGCTCTATACTGTCTGTGGTGACATGAGAACAATGCATATTCTTCTAGGGTGATAAAGATCTTAATTTTTTTTCCTAATATGCTTTTCTTATTATGTTCTGACATTTTCTCTAATTCTGCAGTTTGAATATTTATAGCAGATGCTTGTTCTAAAGAAGTTTTCACCTAGGAATCTCTTTTCTAAACTGACATCATGTCACACTGATTTGACAAATTCTGTTCCTAGCCTCATGGGCATCATTTCAGTTCCTCCTCTAAGTAGAGGGGAGGTAACATTGCATTTACAACCCTGTGTCTGGGAGCAGAATTTGCTGTAACATGTTTTTGTTAAACTTAATAAATAAAAGGGGTTGATAGAGATCCCTTCCCATGTCCTCTTGATGCAGCTGGCAACTATTGTAGGTCTCCAGGCAAGTATTCAAGAGTCCATACTAGTAATTGCAAAAGTCAAATTGGGAACAGATATTTAAGATTCACCCCCTTAATTTTCACGTGCAACCCCCGTGTGGCTCCCTCCTGTGTAAGGACAGCACATCCAGTGTCTCAGGGGCTTCTGGGGAAAGTCCACCAAGGCCAGAGAGGTTCATCATCATTTATGGACTCAAAATGCCTCCTTGGGGCTACCAGGGCAATAGAAATGAGGTGAGAAGTCTACACAGATGTTCTGATCCATTGAAAAAGCTCATTCTGGCTGAAGTGGCAAGTAAGCAGCAGTGGTCCCTAGCAGCTGCCAGGAGCTGAAAAGGCACAGAAGAAAAGGCGCAGTTATCCCGGGACTGACCTATGCACACATTTTCATCGTCCAGCTCTGCAGAAGCATTTCTGAAGTAGCCCAGCCTGCATAACTCGCAGTGCTGACCTCTAGTGTTGTGCTTACAGCTCACGCAAATGACCGTATTGAGCAGCTCGATGTAACTGCACCGGTTGGAGTGCCCGAAGCATTCACAGTCTTTCAAGGAAGAACAGAAATGTATACAAAGTGTATACAGCAGCAGAGTAATAGCACATTACATGCTTAGTAAAAATGAACCATGAGCAGAAGTATGAATGAATGGCACATACATGTTAATCAATGTAACATGGACAGCAGCAGATGTTTATCTGCAATGGAAGTGGAGCTGGTTTCAGGCAGGTTAGCGTGACCCGACAACCATGGCATGACGTCGGAGGTTAGCTGTTGGCAGACCTGATGGAACTGAAGCATTTGCAGTTGTAAACCTTTCAGGGTTACTGGAGGCTCAGTTTCCGCAGAGAGAAATGCACATATTTTTGCGCATTTGAGATGAGTATAAATCAAGACCTGGGGAAAAACCTCCTCATATTAACAATATTAAATTCAGTGGACAAAATTGTCAAACTTAATTATGATTAAATCTGCAAGTGTAAGTAAAATAAAAGGTTTTTTTCTCTGACAGAAATGGCAAGTGTTCAGAAATGCTATTGAACTTGGGGTGCTATAACTGCTAGGCACCTTGAGAACCAGAGTGTTTCATTTCATGGCAAAACAAATCTCTAGTTTGACAATTTTGGCCAACACCTCCTGAAACAATTAACAGTGAAGAAAAGGAAGGAAGACAGTTATTGGAGAACTACATCCACTGTACTTTTGAGGTAAGCATTAACCATTTTTTGAATTCTAAGATGAAGAACAGTTGGGCCAGGAAAGATTATGAAAATTCTGAAATTTGTACTGACTAGAAAGCATGCTCACTGCAGACATTTGAAATGAAGTTGGCATGACAGCCACTTTAAAAAACCCCTTCATTAAGTATAGAATGCTAAAAGTGTGCCTTTTAGTCTTTAATCACAAGCAATGTTTGGCTTTATGCAGAACAAAGAAGAAATCAGAAATGTATCAATAACATTATAGAAGACACAGCTCTGCTTTGTGTAGAACACTTGTGTAAGCCTGATCACTCAGCTCTTGGGATTATGAGCCCAGAACGAATGCAGGAAAGATTACTAGGATGATGAGAGAAGTAGTTTATTTAAAAAGTGAAGACTAGGAAAATTTTTGCTTGTTTAGTCTAGGAAACTGATGATAGAAGGTATCACCGGGCTATAAATACATTAAGGAGCTAAGCCTTCTGCCATGCAAATGGACAATACTGGCACAAGAACAAATGGGTGTTAACTGGCTACTGAGAATTTTCAGCTGGAAATTAGAAGATGATGTCTAGGCTTTGGGGCAGTGAGGTTCTTAAACACTTTTCATTTGTGGTAAAACACAGTGATGCTTTAGAGATGTAGTTTATTAACTGGTAGAATAAATTACAGTACATTTCCTGCAATAATGGAGCACTGGGTGCAGTGACTTGGAAGGCCTTTGAGGTCTTGAAGTTATCTTGTAATTAGATAAAGCTGTAGCAGAGGGTGTAAAATGTTTCCATATATGACATAGGCCAAGTCCCCTGTGGCTGCCTTTCCTCTGGTATGCTCCTGATTATGCTGGGGCACCTGATCATCCCCCTGACTGTTGGCATAGGGCATCCATCATATACTGTATTTGAGCCTACCTGTATTTTTGGAAAGAAACAACAGTCCCAGTACATGTTTCTCAGTATGCTCTGCACTCCTAATACATGGGTATTTCTTTGGCTTTTGTCTGATGTACTGGACTGTAAATAGACTGCACTGTAAATAGATTAAATTTTTTTAGACACTTAGCACAACATATGTTTCAATCTTGAGAGCTGCCTTTCTGCTGCCAGAAAACATTAATCCATTTTACATGTACGCATTTAGTTAACATATATATCTTGTTCTCTTCAATGTTATTCTGCTAAACCAGTGTTTTGTGGTTTGTGCTAATTTGATAATTTTGATGCCAGTAACTGCTGGAGTACAGGAAAACATTTGGTGTATCAGTCTCAGTATGAGACTCAATTGACACAACTGAGTTGGGAGGAAAAAAATGTTAATGTTTGTTGTCTTTTTCAGCTGGTCAGTCTGATTCAGCATCTCAGCCAGCCACCCTGCAGCATTTCTCCCCAAGTATATCCATTTTGCTCAAGTGAAAACTGCCTGCGTGGAACAGACAAAATTTAAATGTGGAAACTAGCACTAGCAAACAGGAGTCATGGAAAATTGGTGTGATTATGTTTATATGTTTGATTTTTAAAGTTAGAAGGACTGACTGGTGATAAGCAATCTGATCTTTCTGAATCTTGGATTCCGAAGCAAGGCTGTCAGTCTTTCTGTCTGACAAAGAACCTGTCTTCTGCTACCCACAGAGAATTTGTTTTGGTGAGCTAATACTGTACTGGTATGTTGGTCAGACTTGTTGCTAAACATTTTCATACTCCAGGTGAATTTAGAGGAAATAATTTGCCTGTATACTATAAAGAAAAGCTGACTATGCTACATTATCTTTTGCATTTAAGGCAGCAGAAAGAAATTTAGAATAGTTTATGAATGAATGACTGCACTACTTCCACTCTGAAACTGCAATATGACCTTCAATATTACTACTACACATAATTAGCCATAACAACAGTACAAGAAACAAAGCTGCACATCAAGCATTTCACTCTGTAACACAAGGCTTGCTCCAAGTTATGATTTGGAGTGAATAAACATCTAATAATTATGAAGCACTTGGATGTATACACACACTCTGAAACATTTGCAGGACTGCCCAAGTTCAGTTGTGAGTCGTCAGTGTGAAAGGTAAACAATGAGACCAGTTCTTGGACTTGGTTACATTTCTATGGATATTGCTCTTTTGTAACAACTATGATGTGTGAAACAAAGTCTTTGTCTCATAGTTAACTAATGCTCTAGGAATCTTGATCAGATTAGTAAATACTACATGGTGCAGAAAAAACCACAGTTAACTCGAAAACAGTCCAATATCTGATTAAACATTAGCAATGGAAAACAACAGAAGAAAATAAATGGCAAGTAATGATTAAATCAATTATGTGATAATGTTTGCTCCCCCCCTGCCACCCCACTGTGTTATTACTGTGATAATTTTTTGCTGTTGGCCTGGTCATTTTTGCATTCCTCTGTCCTTACAAAAACAAGCTATATAAAAGGTCCTCCTATGATCAAAATGGAATTACTTTCTCTAGTGGCTATATGAGGTGTTACTCTAAACTACTCAAACATAGCACAGAGAATTACATTCAGCACCATGCCAGCTGGGAAGCTGTCAGTGCTGCATGGCCCCTCCAGCCTATCATGTGCTTCACCTTAACCAGAAAGTATTCTGCTTGTAAGACCTGTCAGAAACATAGCTTAGGGTCTTTAGGCACACAGATCTGTCTAGCAGCCTATAGCACTGTCACACACTGGCAAAGTCAAGCAAACACTGAAGGAGATGGGGGAAAAGTATCAAAATCAGGCTGCACATGGTTTACCAACCATTGTGAAATGACATGAGCTTCTTACAGTGTTAGAAAATGCTGTTTCCAGTTCTGAGTACCACAGTGTCAGAAAAGACACAGATAAGCTGAGTAACAATAAGGAGTGGATGGTTCAGAAACTAAAATCTCACAGAAGAGGCAATGACAGCTAGATAGGTCTAATGTGAAGGAAAAAGGGATTGCCATGTTAGATGTGATCATTGTTTTTGGCTGATTCAGGAACTGTCCAATCCCTTGCAGACTCACAAAAGCATTGACTCTCTGAACCTCCCTGACTGTTATCCAATGCAATGATTTTACTGAAACAATCTTGATTCTGCTGCAGAAAGCATGATAAAATTAGCCACTGAAGCAGGCTCATGAAATTGATAATTGTTTTGTTTCTATAAATTGAACACTTTCCCCCCATTCTGATGCTACGCACTTACATCTTTGAGATAACATACTGTTATTGTGGGGACAAGGTTCAGCTGAAGCTTCAGCTACGACCATTAAAACATGAAATGTCATCACATGAAACAATGATCAACACACATGGAAGTGTAACATAATTTCTGAACTATAACATGTTGCATGAGACAGCTATTAGTGTCACTTTTTAATTAAAAGCACAAAGCATATTCAGTAAAAGTGCATTCACAAGTCTTTTTTCTTTTTCATTTTCCAGTCATTCTGTGTTCCTCCTCCATACACTAAGGCAAACAAAAGAGATTTCATTGTAACCTTAGAAATTACCTGCTTCATAACAAACAGTATGGCTCATTACGATGATCTCATCAAATGGGTCAAACTAAGTTCAAACATTTCTTAATAACCCTTTTCCTTCTTAATATGTATTTCATGAATAATGAGATATTCACAATAGTTGCAGAAAGACAAAACATCTTCATACATACTCTTTACAGATAAATTGATGAGGAAAAACAGTGAAAAGATCTCAGGGTTCAGACTGTGAATGATAGATATGCAAATGAAACAGGTTGCCTGTAAGTCAGAAAGAATATTGGCATCCTTTATTATGTCCATATAATTCCATTATTTTGATAGAACACTGGAACATCAGTTCAAAATGTAATGCCTGCACTCTGAATTTGCACACTTACAATAAAATGAAGACATAAGGCACACTTACAATGCATTAAAAGACACAACAATGCATTACATTCCATGGCATTTACAGATACTTCTTGAGGACATGGACAATTGATGTTTTATGGATTGTTTGCCCTCAACTAATCTGCTTATGTTTCCTCTTTTAAATTTATGCATATCACTGAGGAAAAAAAGACTCTAGTAAACATCTGCTTTCTAGGCAAGGATCTGATTCATACATTTAACTCCTTTAAAAATAAATGCCATGTCACGTTATTTGCCACCAACAACTGTCTAAGAAGCATATTTATTTTTCTTTGTATGGCTTATGTTTATGTGACTTAATGCTTCTGTTGTATTCGATGAAGATGCCTCACCAGTAAACTAATGGGTACACTCCACAGATATTCCAGATTCATACAGTGCAATGTTTTCACAACACAGAGCACTATGGGATCACTGTATGAATCCTAGAATTCCTACCTCTCTTGTGGTTTGCAACTTGAACAGAAGAAACAGTTGACATAGCTAATTTGGGAGCAACTGGATAGGTAATAAAATGAACAGCAAATTAGAAAAAAGTATCATATAGGAACAAATCAGTATATTAAAATAAACATCTTCATTCTCTAACTTTTAAATTTAACAATGGTTATTTTTTTGTAAGGAAAGGATAAGGTTACAGAAAATGAGTTATACACTGTCAATTATTGAATCATTTGAGCTGTGACATCCAAGATCAAGGCAATTTAATTCTATGCACTTTGGCAATTTTGTGTCAGAGGTTATTTGGTGATTTCTCCCAATCCATGACAAATGACTATATGGTAACCAGAGTAGTCTGAAAAGGGTTTGATTGAATTTGAATGCATATTTTTTCTGGCTGAATAGTACAAACCTAAACCCCACAATAAAATAATTAGATATTGGCAGATTTGTGTAATCGCTCTTTTCATACGCTGTCCTTAACTGAAATGTTTAATCTACACTATATGTTAAACACTGTAACAATATGCTGCAAAGTGCTGAATACACAAAAGCTGAATAGAAATGCTTTGAAGTTTTTGTGTTTTGTGCTCCCTACCAAAACATCAAAACTAAATTTACTTAAACTCTTATTTTTGGGGAAGAAACACTGAATAATTCTCTGCTGTTCAAGACGTATTTCGTAAAGAAGTTAGGTCTTAGATCACACACAGTATAATTAAGCAATGAAATCCATTAGAAATGCTAAGTATAATTAAATTGAAAATGTTTTGATTTAAAATTCTTCTGAGTAACATAGGCTAATCCTTACAGAGAGCAGAGGAAAAGCCATCAATCTGGGTGGGGTTTTTTTGTTTGTTTAAAAAAGACATGCAAAAACTTGGAAAATACAATGGGAGCTAAATGAAATTGGAATACAAGGTATTACTTTATCACTGATAGTTAGTTTTAAATATATGTGAATAATCCAAACTGAAGTACATTTCTAATCCTTACAGAAGGCACAGATTAATTAGTATTTTCTGTTTTGTTTGGCACATAGAAACTTGCATGTATAACATGATAGATTTCACTTGCACATGCGTATGTTTGATTTGGTGATTGTGATCTGTAGATTTAACAAGAGCCATTCCAGTGTAATTCCCAACAGATTCCAAAGAGATCTTGTTTAGTTTAGTGACCATTTTCTAGATTGCCTTTTCATTAATTTTATTCTCCACCTCTGTGTTATAGCACAGAAAGGACACCCTTTGAACATGAAAGCAAGCCACAGGCCAGATTTCTGCAGGGACTTTGGGGGGAGGAAAGGGCAGTAAATAAGAACAGAAGGACATTATTTTTATAATGAGCAATCACTTTGAAATGTGACGTATAGCTGAATACTTCTTCAACTAACAAAAAAATCTTAGTTTTATTAGTCAGCTTAAGAAGTAAGTTTGTTTCTTTCAGTGCTACTCATCATGCCAATTTTTTGTGTAGCATTCCAATTGTAGAAAACCTTGGGTCTTTCCTGCAGAGAACTTGCTTGTATTATGCACGGCATGAAAGCTGAGAACACTTCTCAGCTCACTTGGGAAAATGAAGTGGAAACAAGACATTAAAAATGCTTTTGATGTTGACAACGACAACCTTTGTTCACTTAAAAATCTCAAAACTTACTCAAAATACAGATTGTGCTATCTAAACAAGTACAAAATTATCTTGGGCTTTCTGTATATCACAAATTTTAGTCTGTATTTCTACTATTCCCGTATTTGCAGTAAAGTGCACAGTCTGAGTGTTGGAAGACTCCCTTTTCAGGTGAGGTTTGTTTTACAGTTATTTTCTCACAGGATAGCATCACTTCGCACCAGAGAAAAATGAGTTGGATTATCATCGTTACTATTTTTGCCATCATGTGGGACTCGTTGAGAGCAATTTCAGTACCTGTAGACCACTAGGAATTTTACAGCATCCTACCTTGGTTTGGTTTAGAAACCTCAAGGGAAGAAATATTCGGCCATATCCTATCAAACTTTGGAGGATCTGCATGCATCAGGAAAAATCAGGTTTTGTTATTTACATCTGTGATATTGTTCTAAACAGGCAAGCATATGGACAAAGACAGACTACACACAGCTATTACTGGACTAGTCTAAGTTGCACTAGGACAGAACATGACTCCACAGTGAACAAGAAAACAAGCAATTGATGATTCCCAAAACACCAAATGGACATAAAATACTGTGCATAACAATTTCTCTTCTGTGGCTTAAAATATAATTTTTCATGACAAGACGATATCCTAGGCCAATATATATGGTTCTAACATCAGGAACAAAACAGGAACATATTGTGTTAAATCTGCTCTGCAGAGATAAAACAACAGTATCAGACAAATATGGATTTCTTACCAAAGACACATATCTTACTGTAACATCCTGTTTCAGGGCCTTTTGAGTGAATTACATATCTTGTTATCAGAAGAGATATATTTACCAGTAGAATGGGCCTTTTCTTTGGCTCTCACAGTTTTGTGTATTTCTTCTATTTCCTATCACCTCTGCTGATATATTTTACAGCTTGATTTTTTTTTTGTCATAACATTAAATATCTAAATTTCTTGTAAGTTTTAAAAAATGTGTTACTTGCAAGAAGTGTTTTGTGTAAGCAATTGAATTAGCTGTGTCTCTTTAGAGCTTCATGCCCTTTGGTTAGTGTGTTACAGGGCTGAGCAAGTGAGGAATGACAACCCTTAACAGAATGGTACTGGAGCTGAAAGTGAAGGGGACAGGCTTGTGGGGAAGGAAAGAAAACTTGTTTCTCCATTTCCATCTGCCTAGCTTTGAACATCAGATTTGGACCATGTTTTTATTATTTTCTTTGACTACTGCAGTGGTTGTGTCTTGTCTGAAACAAACAATTCTTCTGAAGGGTCACATCAGCCTTTGCTGTGGTGATATTAGTGGGGAGAGAGCTCTTCCTTCTCTTCTGTGTACGAGGAATTGATCTGGGTAGTGAGTAGACTGCAGTTGTCACAGCCTGCTTGGCATCAAGGGGCTAGGCCTGTATATCTTTACCTAGATGGTAAGTTTCACTGTTACATCCATCTCAGTGGAAATCCTGTAGGGAAGCTATGACAAAAGGACTGGGGCTTCAAACATCTGATTATAGAAGGAGGACATCCCAAAGTATCTTCTGAGCCATTTGTCAAGGGTGAAAAGGAATTGTCTGGGTGGGGCTAATGTCTGTCCCTAATGTCGCCTCACACAGAGAATAATTAAAGGAAAGGATGGGGACCTGCACTGTGCCATTTGCTGTTAGGCACTCTTCTGCAATTGAATGGGTCAAGTTGTAATTTAATCACATAATTACATCAGATTCTTTCATTTTTGTCCTTTTTCCTTATCGATCAAGAAAACAGAAGAAAGAAAAACTCAGTTGACAGATTCTCAGTCTATTTATTTACTAACATCAACCTGCCTCTACAGGTCAGATCCACCAATTCCCACACATAGGAAGTGCAAATGCCCCAGTCAGAGTGGATGACAAAAAGTATCTCCAGGCTGTACCTAGTGATGACTAGGTGGTGTGCTAACCCTCGTCCCCTCCACTGACAGACTGCTACCACAAACCTGAGAGACCACCTTCCTCCTCCTCAGACACTCACTGACAAATTACTTGCGCAGTTAATTCCCTGTTAAAATTTTGGTAGATTTATGAACACTTAGACTTGACCTAAACATTTTAAAGTGACTGGACATTAGGCATAACATAAAAATCAGGAGTTAAGAAAGGAAAAGCAATTGTTATGGACTATGTTGTCCTGCTGTTCCCTGAACCTTTTTTCTTTTAGCCACTGTGCAGCATCAGAGTTGTTGCAGAAAACTGGTCACATTTCAGACTGGAGCCTCCAATATCCTACTTGTGTTCTTGAGTACTGTGTGGCACAACTGCTATAAAAATTCACATATATAGTGGTCTTCAACTGCAGAGGCCTAGGTATTACCAGAAGTAAAATTAATAGTGTCAAGTAACTTTGTAATGCCTTTTTGGAATGGAATGGAATTTGTCATAAACTGTAGGTCCTATATCAGTAAATCAGACACTTTACATAATCAAACTGATACACTCAGTAATATTTGAGACATAATTTATCATGATTATGATTTCTCTAAGTAATATCATGTCCAAGTAAAATCATTCCTTGTAAGACAGAAAAAAAAATTACATATTTCTTAGAAATCCTATAAATGCTATAGATCTGTGCTTGTTTTAGTAAACTTACTTAAAATGGAGGCTGTGACTTACTGCAAAATAATTAAAGATTCCCTGACCCTTTAAATTAGATAACACTAAACTGAGTTTCTTAATGGGCACCCAAACCAATAAAGAACATATTTACAGTGCCTGGAGATTACCATTTAAGTATTATTGCTAGTGATTATTACTGGTTATTACTGATAATTATAACCATATTAGAAGGGACTTCTGGAGGTCATTTATTTCCACAGTTTGCTCACGGCAGGGTCAACTTTAAAGTTAGATGAGGTTGTTGAGGGTTATATCCAGCTGAGACCAGCTGCTGCCTGGTAATGTGGTTAATGCTCCTGAGACTTAGTGCTTCTGTTATGTGCTGTTTTCAATCTTTGGTAAAGAGGATATATTCTTCTCATATCCTTTGCTCATGGCCTGTATTTCCATCAAGATTAGATGTTTCTTGATAAAGGTCTATCTTCATATATTTAATATTTCTTTAAATGGCGATGACTTTAAATGCTTTATCTGAAAAGGTAGGTGAGATGTCCAAGTCCAAGAATGTTGGCTGTCATTCCCACATGTACATTGGAGCAGATGAGTCATCCCTTGAACAGACACTGGGAAGATTCATTTAGCAGCTAGTTATTCTTTCACAGCAACCTGTGAAAATATTTCTAGTCCTTGGTGATTACCACTAAGGGCTTTATTTATAGAGAAGTTGACTAGATAAACCAATCTTTTCCAGAACAGTTCCATGTCTGGAAACTGCATTTTGTAATTAGAGTCATTATATACCAGAATAATAAATGAATCTTGGTGTAGGTATTCTATAAGATGTACTATTTTGATTGACTGTAAAATATTCCACAACAGCTATTCTAACAAAGCTAAAAAATGTGAGAGTTTCTAAATGTATGTTTGAGTGTTAATATTTAAAAGTGAAGCTACTGTAGGCATCTTTAAGAGTGGAGGTATGCAAGCTGTGTGACTGAGCAGAAAATCAGATATGACATTTTAAATTTGCATTGGATATTTTTGCATTTTTAGTTACTATTGTTCCAAAGCCTATTATACGTAGAAAGTAACTATTGGAAAAAAATTTTACTTTCATGAAGTAAGGAAAAACTTACTGCATTATATTTATTAGATGTATGATAATTTCCTTTTTCTCCTCCCAATCTTTTATTTTATTTCCTCCCTGATATGCAGTATCAGAATTACTTCCAATATTAAATGAAGAAAGTCTGTCTCAAATTTTCACTGGAAGTACAGTCTGCACCACGGGCTGTATCATGGTTTCAAATTGGGGAAATAAAGGAAATGAATGGGTAGTTTCAGCCTAATTCCAACCAGACAGCTGCACGTGAAAAAAAACCTGTCAAGATCTTGGCAGAAATTAATGGGCATTTTGTTGGTTTCTCACTCCAACCAAGTACTGCACTGCCAATAAAATTAAAATGTATTCCCAGTGAGAGGGGCTGTCTACTCAGGGATGAGAGAAGAGGTGATGGAGCGCAGGAATTCTTTGCTGCTGCCTGGGCACCTGTGCTCTGCAGCCGACAGTGCCTGATCACCTCCTCAAGTGATTCTGCTGGCCCAGCCCACAAACAGTGCATCTGCTGGAAATTACTACTCATAAATCTGTAAGTCTTAAATAATGCTCACTAATGGCAGACTGGGAGCACTTGTGTTGGCTACTATCATTATTAATTTAATTTTTAATAACAATAAGGAACCCTAGTGAGATACGCTGATTAAGATGTTTTCTTTCTTTCCATTTAAAACAAAACAAACAAACAAAAGTTAAAAATGTATCAGTATAAATTTAATGATTCAGTAGAACTTCAAGTCTCTAGCCATAGAAAGCTGGCCTTGCTACTGCCTATTTTAAGCCATGAGTAGGCAGCAGTAAATATCTGTTCTAAATTATAGATGTCTGCTGAGGACAGTGGACATGACAGTTGTTTTAGGTGCTAATATTGAAAAAAAAAATAGGATTTTAAAGAAATAATGTTCACTGAAATTACTGGCTGATTTAGTAGCTGCTGGAGTAATCGAGTGTGTTTATATCACATTGTATTCCACCACTTCTTGCAATCATCATATCATTGTTATGGCATTTCTATCTCCTTTTGTCTTTTTCAAGTTATGATAATCTACCTCACATAAAATTTGCCTTTTATCACTTCATTAAACTGCAAAATCTAAATCACTGAAAGAGAGAAACACTGATTTTTATTTTTTTTTTTAATCAACCCTTTATTTTATTATGTCAAAAAAATCCTTGGCTGATATTAGGCAATCTTTTTTGGAGCAATGTAGGAAGTTTCATACCTGTTCCTTTGAAGAAAAGAAGGATTCTGCATAAATGTGAAGATGTGGTTGTTTTATTGTAGCTCCTCAGCCATAACAGCTTTTATAACTGTTGGAAGAATTTAAATGTAATTAGTCCTTTATGTGTCCACTTGTAGAGTAAAAAAGAAAGTGATCTTTATAGAGGCTTAAAAAAATAATCCAAGGATCCAACTCTGGAAACCTTCAGATATCAGAAAAAAAATACAGCTGATTTGAACAAATTGTTGACTGATTCTCAAAATAGTGAGGGCTGAAGGAATTCTTCAATTTTAAGTATTTCCACTAATATGTTTGTAGAAGTGCACACTGAATTCAAGTATTTTTGGGATGAAACATTTAGGTACCTTCTCATAAAAAAAAATAATTACTTTGTTGATAGTTTGCAGGGGTTGCTATTTTTTATTTGGACTGGTTCTGCTTTTTCCTATAAAAATGCTAAAACTGGCTGATTGCCTGGAATTTCTGTACAGTAATTCACAACTGATGAACAGGAAATTAAGATTTTTTTCAAAAAATCACTATGCTGATTTGGAAACCTCATTCTTTGCTTTAGTCTGTAAAATTAACTGATTACATGTCCTAAGGAACAGAAAGAAAAAAATGAGAAGGTAACATGGAAATATGTTTTTTTCCTGGCAATTTCTCCCCAAGCTTTGTAGATAATTAGATTTTAAAATATCTTTTTGGATCGTGTCTACTCTCTATAAACTTCCTTGAATAACTGAGCTCAACTTGCATATTGCAAGCACCATGTGCTTTGCATGGCTACCATGGTACATATTGGAATGTTGGTATCTTATTTTCTAGAGTGTCCTGCCACTTGATTATTTGTTAATGGTTAAAAGAAAGATAACTATGAACTGAGTAATTTTATATATATTATGGCAAATCAGAAAGCATTGAAAACACTATTTGGTTGATAGACTGATTTAAACTAACTCAAGATGATGATGGAAAACTGGAAACAGGAATGAGAAGCAGCCCTAAACTGTCAGTGGCTGTGTCTATGAGACTGCTGAGCACAGCTCTTCTTATCTGTTAAAATTGGTGGATCTGGCAAAACCAAAACTGAAACACAAGCTCCCCCAAGTCCTGTCCCAATGACCTCACAGTGCTCCCTGGGGCTGCACTGGTGGCTTCTGACCCTGCCCTCAAAATCTCTGCAGAGAGGCAGGTTCTACTCTCTGCTGGGCTCAGCTCTGCTTCCTCACCTTCAGGGGTCACACCTTAGTTATACAGCAGGAAACTGGCTTTGTTGCGACTCCTACCAGGTAAAACTATCCACAGTGGAATTTTTTGGAATGTAAAAGTCTCTCAGATCCAGTATTCAAATGAGCACATCATAGCACAAAGGCTGTTTGTACCTTCTTTCAGCTCAGTAATGTTTTAATATAGTGGAAAATCTAATTTTTAAAGCAAAAGATTCCAAGAGCTTCAAAGCATTAAAGGAGGGAAAACAAATACTGGCTTGATATTATAATCAGTTATCTGATAAGGTGATTGCCTTAGACTGGAAGCCTGATTAACAATATTATTTATTAGAAGGTCAGATTTGGATAAAATTAAGTTGAAATGAGAACATTTTGCTTATGTCCAAAATAATAGACGCTGTCTGAAGACAATATTTGAATGTTTTAAGGAGATAAATATCTTAATGATATCTCAACAGTACAGCTTTCTGTAAAACTTGACCTCAAACAATAATAAGAAAGTAATGTACAACCTAGTTATGCATGTTTATGCCCTGCTAACATGTGCTGGGTATAGACTCTAGTCCAGAGCTTGGCATGGTAATGGCTTTGATTGAAGATTCAATGAGAGAACTTCTTGGTTACTGCAAGAGGGCAAAATCAGGTCCAAAATATTTTGTGTTGTTATTAAAAAACAAACAAAAAATCCACTAGTATTTGCTCTCACCACCTTTTAAGATATATATTTACCACATTAAAATTTCATGACAAATGTGAAAAACAAATAAAGCTACACTCATCCAGACACTATTTTAGCTCCAACAAGATACCTACAAGATTTTTCAAGGTTAAGAAAATAATAAAATAAGAAAGTGTCCATTCAGTCTTTTTTTTTTTTTTCCACTTCTGCATCTTGCATTCATTATCATAAAAAAAAAATAGTTCTCCTAATTTAAAATTGACTATAAGGAAGAACAAAAACATAGAGAACAAAGCAGAAAATACTGTTTGATTATTGTGATTGCATCTTGCACTTGGGTGCATGGTCTGTCTCTAAACTCTGACTCATCTGCCAACAGCAGGCTTTAAGGTGATAATCACCCACACAGAGCTATTTGCACATCATGTCTATCCTATCCTCTGTCTAATGATACCCTTTATAACAAACTGTTTAGCATAATGAGTGGAGTTATGCTTTACAGGAAAAAAGATAGAAGCAATAGTTTAGAAGACTCAACTTTTTGAAGTCATACATTTACAGATTAGTAATGTTGGTATTTGGTCACAATAATGAATATTTTGATGCACTGTTCTATGTAAAATTGCACGATCATTATTTTAGCAAGTAAAATAATGTAGTTTTCAGAATATTTACATACCATATGTAAGCATTGCTTAAAATCATGAAATGGTTTTGGGACTCATTAATTGCTAACACTTTCACCAGTATTTTTTCAGACATGGCTGAAAAATGCTGAAAGGGACAGCACTGTAATCAAGAATGCTGAAAATTATCAGAGAACCTGTTATTCAACTGATACACAACAGCAGGTACAAATGACCTTAATGGGAAAGCTCTGGGGGTTGGTTTATTTTTTTATTTCTTTATTTTTGTTGTTGTTAGCTTTGTTTTCTTCAAGATGATCAGAAAGGATGTTTACTAATGACCACTCTTTGTGTTCAAATTTTAGTGATGAGCTGCTTTAATACAAAATCCTTTGAGGTAAAAAAGGAAAATAGAGAATATTACATACATGTGCACACAGGTGAATATATTTTATTTTTCTTTGCTGGCTTTCATTGCGGTCTTAAAAAAGTGTTAAATAAACATTGTTTGAGGTGGCAATCTTCTTCTTTGCATGCTGGAAGTTTAGTGTTTCTAACCCCCCTGCCCCAACCCCATCTTCCTTAGATGAAAAGAGCTGGGAGCACACAAAAGCCAATAGCCCCCTATAGGTGTTTGCTGCCAGGCAAAATGAAACCCAAACTGTATCTCCTGAGCGTAACTTCCTGTCCCCAGATGGGAAAAAAATCTCTGCTGATATGAAAACAAATACTATGTTAGCATAGACAAAACAAAAATCATGCAGAATTCATTAAAGCAGCCACAACTAATTAATCTTTGGTTTTGTGCGTTAATTTGACTTCTGCTAAATTCTCTTTGAGAACAGGATTAATTTATGGTTTCTATCCTTGTTTAACAAAAATTCTGCTATTCCTGTGTTATAAGAAAGATGTTCAGAACATTAAGCAAGTAGAGTTATTTTTCCCAAGCTATTTAAGAAAAAACACATGGAAAAAACAAGCAGAGTATCAGTATTTATGTGTGCTCATGAAGACATGCTCATACTTCACCCTTTTCAGGTAGGCAAAGATATATGTTCAATTTTACCCCATATCCCAAGACATTTACAACAGACTAAAGATAACATATAGATTTCCAGAAACTCTTGTATTTCCTATAGAATGGTACACAGAATTTTCTCTGTTTGTCATGAATAGACTGTACTAATCACTGTGTAAAATATAAAGAGGTCAACAATGCATCCTTTCAGCTCACCATTGTTCAAAAGGTATTTGAGTTTCCCTATTAAGTTTTCAAAGGCCAACATCTGCTGATGCTCAGAAGTGATAGATGTGGTGACGAAGGCTGTATGGAGTGTGAAGTGAAAACACAACCATATAGACCATGCAACACAGTACTAAGAAACTACAGCACAATCAAACTCCAAAGACCTATTTCCCATTCATCCCATTTCTGTTATTAATGGCAGGAATATTTCTGAGAATGGTGACACAAACTTATTCTCTTTCATTTAGTTAATTTTTTTTTTGTAATGAAACATATATATAAACACAAGTTTTGAAAATAGCACATCACTATGAATCTGAAGACGTACAAATACTAGAGGAGACACTAGAGCAGGCAAATGACATTATTAAGATTGAAGGCTTTCATTTGCACATTATTGTCATTGATGCTGTTTATCTATTTAAAGCAGAAAACAGATGCTGTGGCATTCAGCTGTTAACACTGCTCACACTTGCAAGGGAGATAGTTTTGATGGCATTGAACTTGGCTGTCTAGAGCTTAACAAATCAGTGCTATTCACGAGCTTAAGTAAACTGAGTTGATTATAAATTGATAGTCCTGACTCTGCATCATAAGATGTGAGACAGTTTTACCCAAATTATTAAAAACTTTTCACTTGAATATCGGGTATGGCAAATTGCATTTAACAACTGTGATATTTTATAACTGTGATTGTCCTTGTATTATGCAAGTTGTGCCCAAAGTATCTGCCGAGCTGAAGCTGTGGGGAATATTCTTTCCTTAAGCCACAGAAGGATCCCATTCCTCTCTCCCTGCTTTATATAAGTAATGTGCCACGACTGTGTGCACTCCTCAGCTGCGGAACTCAGCCGAGGCTCACAGCTGTGCACTTGGTCCCTTCACAAGTTTTAAGTAATCATCTATTTCATTGATATAGTAGTTCTTTACATAATGGTGTTATAGTTTTGTTATAGTTTAAGAGTAGTATTTTGGTCCTTTAATTGCATACAGGGAAGCATTTTTCTGTGAAGGAACACAATTCTATTCATTTTGTGGAGTAAAGCCGAGTTCAAAGCCCACTAGAGTTAATGCAGATTCCAGCAGATACGCTGCATTTGCTAATCTGCTTCATAGAAATGAAAGCTATTCCATTTATAAACTTTTCCATTTGCTCTTTGAATTTACACACACGTATACATACATGAAAATTATTGGTCCTATACTTCTGTTATTAGCAAACACTTTTCTTCAAAATGCTCAACAAATATTTTCTCTGCAACAGTGTCTTAATTCTTCATGTCACACTCAGTTTTACAGGACTCAGTGCTCGTCCTGCTGATAAGAATCGATCAGAAAATCCAGGGCTGAATGCAGATGTAAGGAGTGACATTGTCTCTGACCACGTAAACACAGTTACTTGTTAATGCCAGAGAGGAAGGTGAATACACAGCCCCTGCAACACAGGGCATGCTGTCAGAGAAACATTATGTACACCAGAAAGGGATGTTGGGAAATCAGATCTATGAAGATGAATGACAATGCAAAACAATACTGGTTTTATTACTTACTACCAATACTGGAAATACTGGGTATACCTGCAGAGAAAGAAAACACAAAGAAGTGTAGTTAGCTGCTTGCTGTAGCTGGCTGAACTATTACATCTAAGATCCTGAAAACATTTTCAGAATATTTTATCAATATATAGTTAAACTCAAGCATCTGCTATTACATGCCCAGTCCTTCATAAATGCAGAGTCTTTTAGAATTTTCAGTATGGGGCTGCAGGGACCACTAAAATGCATTGACAGATGGGATCTATACCAGCTCTCTGAACTTCATGGATTTGTTCAGAACAGTTCTGTATTTCAACTAACCAGCCATTATGTTTAATGCTCTAGATAAAAATATCAGTCATGCACATATTATGCAGATCTAGGAGAGTAATTTTACCAAGGGATAGCTGTACTGCTAACTGCTTTGGTCAGCTGCTTAAATCAGTTGGTACCTTCTGCTGCATTAATTGTATATAGCTATTTTCCCCTTTTTTACCCGACAGTTATCTAAATTAAGCTACGTAAAAGAAATGTAATTAAGTGAAACAATCTAATGCAGTAGGTTGGCGATATTGATTAAACCTCTAATTGATTTCTTTTTTGCTGTGTTAATTTCAATTCCTAAACTGAATTAATGCAAGGAAACCATTCTAGAGGCAGGTGAGATTTACCATAGGAGGTGGGCCTGTTAAGGAGTAAAACTCCTTTACTGGAAAAGCAGTGTGGGATATCACGTTGTATAATGCAATCCCAAGAACTAGCTTCTTGTCAGGTGTGTCCTGAAACCTAGGCTTTGTGTGTAGCACAAAACCATGGATATGAAATCTTTCCTGAAGTGCCATGTTCTTAAGATTAAATGCCATTGTTAATGGTACTGTGGCTCATCACCTGGGGTAGTCAGAAACTGCAGATCAGTATTGAAATCCCGGATATTTGCATCCTCTTCCTTAAACACAGTTTGCCTTTTTAAAGTTTTATTGACTTTTGTGGCATGCATTTTGTTGCAGAAATCTGTCTGTTTCTCCATTAAACATCTGCTACACTTCTTTCAACATCTATCTTGAAGTTCTCCCTTACTCAGAGATGGCATGGACCTCACTGCAATTCAGTGAAGCAATGTCTTGAGAATAAATGATATTCAGAGTAAGCAAGGTTGCTTAAGTGTCAAGCTGGGAAGAATCCTACCTTGTGGCATGGCTAAGACAATGCTGAAGTAACAGAATTTGCAGAATGGGGACCAAACCCAGCTTTTTTATATTGCACCACATCAGTCCTGGGGCACATGTCAGAATTGCAGCTCTCGGGTTTCACATCCTATGGCAGCTGTGGCCTGGCAGAGCACCATAGACAACACCTGCTGCTCACCCAGCCCCACACTCAGATGCTATTTGCAAATTTAATTATTTCTGCCTCTGCTGACATAAACGCGTATTTTCCAAAACTTTAGCACCATGAGGTATCAAAAGTCAAGTGCAAATATCATCATAATAGAACAATGTGGTCATAGCTCTAATAGTAACAAAAAGTGCTTTTTTAGTTAGGATAATTAAGGAGAACATCTATCCCCTTATTTTAAATGTCAAAAAGACAATCAATTTTCAAATATTTTACCTGAACTTTCAATAGCAGCTTGTTTAAATTTTTGCAAGTCATTGTAGCTGGTTTAAATTAGCAGGATTAGTTTTCCTTTAGGATTAGATTTCCTTTTCACTCATGGAACCTACACAAATATTAGATAAAAGACAAAAACTGTGTTCTCGCACTCACACTTTCACTGTGAAATGGTATTTGTATTTCTTCTGGGCATACTCCTCCGTCTCAAACCTCTCTGTCTCCTACACACACATACAAATATCCTTTCCTTTCTCTCCTGAACAGATTGTAGCAAAGGAAGAGGTTTTCCTGCAAGTCTGCTTGCCTCATATTATTGTACTTCAAAATTTTCAATGAATTCACAGTGATAAATGCTTCCTGGGCAGAGAATAATGAACACAAGATGCCTGCTAGCCTGAGGGCTCTGTATTAACCTTGCAAAGATATCTTCAGGTTCTGTTTCAAAAGCTGTTTTTCTATTTCTGTACAGAGTTTCTTTGTTGGTGTGGTCTTCTGTAAACCAGACTGGTTTTTGTACTACCAGGTATCCCTGTGTGAGGTGAGTGGCCTTGATGGTGCATTACTTATGCCCTTGTTACTAAAGAGAGTGAGAATGACACTTCTGAGTTTGTCTGGAAAGGAGCTGCTTATGTAGGGCCACGAAACAGGATCTATTAACACTCTGTGAAAACTGCACATATGATGGGGAAATTATTCTTAGAAGGAGTGTTTGTGTGAGATCTGGAGTTACATATTGAGGCTAGCTCTTGAATTCAGCTGAGCCATAAATGGTGCAATCCTTAGGTAAGGAGGCACAGGAGGTGTGATTCTGCTCTCTCTCTGTCGGCGTGCAGGCAGGCGAGGGCCTGAGCGCACGGCTCCACCTGTGCCACCACTGCTGGCCCTTGGCTTGAACCTGGGCTGCTGCATGGCATGGATCGCTTCCAGTCAGCCTTGTACTGAAATCTCTGAGTACTCTGCAGCAGTGGAGTGATGGGAACAGCTTAGAGAGACGAAGGATCAGGCCCATTATCTCCTTTGATGGACAATTTTATTGAGCAAGGCACAAAAAGGGATTGAATTTACATCTCTTCAGTTGTTAAACCAAAACAATGTTCAGCTTAAATTATCTTCCAGTTGAAATCACTGGGATGGTTATTAATGGTAATAGATTTATAGTGAGGGGACATCAAGTAAAGCGTGCAAAAAAAGTTCAGAGGCTGGTACTGCCCCTGAAATGGCAAACATTGCAGGAGAAAGTCACTAATACTATTTATTATTTTTGACTTGACTTGAGGGCGGTGGTTTGGTATATTACATGTTCACTGTAAGTGCATCTAAATATATATGCATTACTTGAGAGGAAAAAAATCTGGTGTTTTCCTTTCATACGATCTTCTGCATCTGCCCTGTAATTTTCTCATTTCCCCTGCTTCCAGAAATGGGTTGTTTTAGCTCTTAGCTACCATGGAGCTGACTATTGAGATGAAGAAAAAACCAAATCAGATGCTAGTGAAGAAAGCAAGTTTTTGATTTTGTCTCTAGTTTGTGTCAGTGTGAAATCCTTAACACAAAGTAAATGGATCAAGCTTTTGGTGAGAAGGACCACACTGCTGCTTCCAGTCTCAGGGCAGGTCATACCCTGCAGACCCTCTTAGCACCTCCATTGTCAATTCCCACATGTGCTTCTGGCAGGACTCATAGCAGGAACAAAATACAGAACATTTCACAGCAGAGTCAGAGCAGGGATGGTAATGCCTCATCCGATCCTTTGCTAGAATATCTGCCCTGCAGCATGACAGCACTCCCTGCAGTGAGTCTTTCTTCCCTTTGCAGCTCTTCCATTGAGGCATGATTGCAACATCAGATGCTCAGCATCAGTTTCAGAACTTCTGAATTCTCTAGCAATTTAAAGCCCTGAGAAGCTTGATGATACTGGTGTCTTGTAATCCCTCAAAGGGAGTGATCGTTATGATCATAAGAGTAAACTTTTCATGTATTGTTAAACTTCTATTCAGACAAAGGATTACACAGTGAAAGAAAATTCTTTGGAAATTTCATGTTTCATTGCAAGAGCTCCAGAACTCCTGCTACTGTTAATTTTGCAGTTGTTTCTCTGTAAAGATTGAATTCATAGAAAAGGAATTGCTTTGATGAAATTTGTTATCCCTCACTTCTGCTTTCCTAAGCAATATCACCAGAAATAAATGGGACAAAGGAAATAGTTATTGTTTTATTGGGTAATATCTTTTAAAATTTGGAATTTTTTGTGTTATGTTTTACTGAGTCCAAACTAGTATTGAAAACTCTGTCTAGGAAACACCCAGTGAGATCAAAGGATTTTTTTTTTCAAATAATTGTCACTTATTGATAGAATATTAGAAACTTCGAAATGTCTGAAACTCAGACCATTTTGGCACTATAAATGTCTTAAAACAGACACTTTGCCTTCCCATGCTGCTGTTGCTTAAGGACCAGAAGTCTCTTTTATTTCACCTCTTCACTCTATATGGCAAAAGTAGAGTTTGAAATCAGTGATGTAAGGAAACAATTTGTTTCCCAGCAAGAGATGTCACCATAGCCAGGACAAACAACCAGCTCAGCAGGGTCATGCAAGAGGGTAGAGTGCTGAAGGATAATTTTTCAAGCCCTATTTTAAAAAATACAGCATATTATTTATAGTGCATTGTTTTCAGGTATATGCCTGTAATGTTTCGCTGGCTATTGCACTGGATTTTGAAGTAAAATGAGTTTATCAGTTGCAGATTTTTGCACTTTTTCCTGACACTCCTGTTTACCTGAATGCTCTTGATACACTGCAGTTTTGCCCTCACACTAGGTTTCCCAGCCTTTTCAGTGACATGTTCCTGTGGCTTTATACCTTCTGTAAGCTTCATGGACTAAGATTAGTATGTAATATAAAGTAGGAGCAATACCAAGCTTTGCTGTTTTGTAACTTATTGATCAATATCTTCCTTTTACTCTTTGAAATTTATCGTCAACAGCATGAAGGAGCACTATTTCATAACTTCAGCATAAGTGTCTCATTCCTTCAAATTGAGTCATGAAGAAGGCACTGGAAAACTTCCATTTACTTGGGAGAATTAGAAAATGGGACACTGTCTAGTTTGAGTCTGCTTTGACTGGAAAGCAGGGTGTGTGATCCTTTCAATTAGAGGGATCCTTGTTACTTGGATTCCTGATTAGAAAGCACAACTTGGAGAACTTAATTTATGCTGGTCCTTCAAGATGGCTTTGTGTCAGCAAATATCTATGGGGAAAACTGAACATCAGTGAGGGCAATACCAGTGCACTTCTGGAGGTGCCATAAGTTTTTCCAGAAACAGTTTCTGTGGCAGCTGTGCTGCATGGAGGCCTTGTAAGTCTTTTCCCTTTCAGGGAGGTTTGAGGCTGTGCTGCTGAGACAGAGGCTGTACCATGGGAGGGGGACCCACTGCAGGAGAAATTCAGTAAACTGAGACCGTCTGCCTGACTCTTGACTGAAAAGAACCACCAGTGATTCCCATGTCCTGGTCAATCCTTTGTTTCATGTTGAACTATGAACTAGGAAAATCATGTAACAGCTGGGAGGGGGGTTTTGCTGAGTGTTGGAGACTTTTGATACAGATTATTGGTGGTAAAAGGGACTGACACAAAGTGAGCAGGCTTTGATCCATGGCAGCTCAGTGCAATCTGAGACAGCTCTGTCTGATGGAGCAAGGAGCATAAGTGCCAAAGATGATCTAAACAACGGGAGGAAGAAAAGGGCTAGTGCTGTCAGACACATACAGCTGCTGAGGAGAAAAGCTATCCTGTAATACCAAGTAGAGAGAAATTCAATAAGTTTACTTTGTGTGTCAAAACATATTGCAGCAAAAACTATCTACAGAATGTGACAGCACAAGGGAATGAATGTAATCACAAAATAGTCAATAAGATAGAGTGGAAATATAAAATAAATGCTGTGTGGAGACAAATGGAGAAATATTGTTAGTGCCAGTAAACAACAGAGTACTTGCTGTCTTTCACAGGTAAAGCATGGAAAAATGTTTTGCATTCTCCTGAAAAACTCTGGATGACTTAAAATGATAAAGAAATAAATGGATAAAGAAAAAACAGCTTTGTATCAAGATTTCCGCTATGACCACAGAATAATCTGGAATGGTCTTCTGTTTCACGAGCTGAAAAGGTATGATGAAGCCTTATTGGCCACAAAAAATGGCAGAAACAGAGCAATGGAAATAACAGAAGTTCCAGCTGGGAAAGATTTGAAAATAGACATTAAACTTCTTGTTGAATCGCAACAAATTTCACAAATTCAGAGAATCTCAAGACTCTCTTTTTATTTTGTGAAAAGAAGAAAAAAAATTCAGAGTGTTTCATTCATACAACTATTTTTAACTGTATCTTATTTGACCATATTAATGTAAACTTCAAACATATTTAAATTTTAAAATAATTTGGTCTTAGATGAAAAAGATGGTATTTGAAAATTGGAGGAAGGAGAAGTATCAAAGGGACACTGTATTACTGGATTATAGAAAGTGCCCACAAAAAACTGAAATAATATATAAAGGGAAGTTATCTCCATTAACATATTCCAGGAACTATTTCAGAATCCACACCTGACTAGGGAGACCGTAAAACCAGGGCTGCATTGCTGACCACATGATGGAGATGGTGACATAAAGGTGAGAAGGTAAGTGATATTACATTGGCTGTGCAGAGAGTTTACACAATAATGCACAACTTCATATGCTCCAACACAATTAGCCTTAAATCAGGAAGTGACAAAAGAAATTAAGATTTACATACCATAAATGATTGCTGCTTGTAGCAAGGAAGCAGACAACCCACAAAAAGAGAAGCTGATTTAATTCTGAAGTAGTACATAGGACACAATTCAAGAAGCAGTTATCAGAGAACCACTTCTAGACTGAAACTCAACATGCTTGTTGAGAAGGAAAAAAATAAAAAAAAAATCCACTGAAGTAATATTTAACTTTGAGTGAGCGAGGAAATGAAAATGAGGAAGTTAGATAAAATAAAAGTGAAAAGAACATCTAAAAAGATATGCATGCAAACAGCATGGAAGCAGCTGAAGACAAGTGTATGAGAGGCTCAGAATAATCATATATAACTCATCTCTTTTTTTTAACTTATAAAAATTAACTCTCTTATAAGAAAAAAAATAAAAATCCAAATCCCAATGCCAAATTGAAAACAACAGGATGTAGATGATTTTGGAAAGATACCCTTCAAAAGTGTAAGTCTTCTCAATGGAGAAAGATATGGGGAACAAAAAGCATAAAATCTGCCAATTTAAATATAAACCACAGTGTTTTGAGAATCAGCTTCCTATGGACACAAAAGTTAGTAATTCTTTTTCATTAAAACAGTCATAGTAGAAGCAAGAGGCCCAGAGAGATAACTGGGAAGATAGTCAATTGAGGTATTATTAACACTATGAATAATTGATAATTAATTTAATATTGAATACTAAATTAATTGTTTTCACTGATGTTCACATCAAAGAAAGAGAGATTCTCACATGCTGAGGAATTTTCTCAAAGTCTTTTAGCATGTGAAGTTAATGGTATTGACCAAGAATTGCCATGAGGAAATATTGCCCCAAGAAGTATTTTAAATAAAGTTTCTGAACTAACTATCGTAGCATATAACCTGTTATCTAAGTCAGCCTTGAGGCCAAGAGAAATGTTTTAACAGTGGTACAGTCTTAAAAAAGGACTCAAGGACTGACCCAGAGAGTTACAAAATATAAAAGAGGCACATTTTTATTTTATCATAAAAGAGCCATGTTGTTGTGATGTCTAGAATATCATGTGTAGTTTTAGCCTCACTAAATAAAAAAATGACATCATAGAACCTGAAGAGAGCAAGAAATCACAGAAGACCAGAGATGTGGCATGGTTTTATGATAAGATGAAAGAGATCAGGATTTGTCATTTAAAAAAAAAAAGTGGAGGAGTGGATAAGGTCAAGTCTATGTAATGATAAATAGTGTAACAGAGGTGCATTCTTTGTTCCTTCAGTATCTAAGGTGGTACTAGCTTAACCATAGAAAAACATTTAAGGTAAGTAAAATAAAATATTTTTCACTCATTGACTAAAATTTGAAATGTATTGCCATAAGGTATCACTGAGGTCAAGCTTATGTTATTGGGTGTCTCTCTCTGTTCAGCAGGAAGCAACCCCTGCAGTCCAGCTCTGAAAGCCAGTTTATTTCATGGTAACTGAGAAGGTGAAGAAGAAATCCTTCATGCTTCTTCCTGTTTGCCATAAATTCCTGCTGCCAATCACTACTGATGTCAGGATTTGAGGGTAAGTGGAGTATTTGTCAGTTCAAACAAGGACATGTTTTCACGAGGCTATCATCATCATCATCCCCAGAAATGACTACCTATTATTTACAACACGTGTTTGATGAAACTGTATATTTTCTGAAATTCACTGATATTGTTTTAACAGAAAGTTGATTTAACAAGATTCAGACACTCTTTCAGTAGGTGCTAATTCCACTGTTCCGTCTGGTGTGTGCTCAGCTGACTGGGAATGAGGTAAATGACACAGCAAGCTGAATTTAGCTAAAATCAACCTGGTAAATCTCACCATATTTCCCAAACATAGCTTTAAAGTATTAATTCTGTGAGCCACACTCACTTTTTATAACAGGCGAAAAAAAGTGAATACTCTTACAAAATGTTTTTCCTTGCTTTTTGGAAGTTAATTTTTTTCTACTCAGTAAGAATTTTATCATAATTTCATGCCCCCACACTTCATGGTTTGTTACTTGGTCTATTACTCTCACATTTTACTTGATAAGGTCCTGCTTCCTATGATCTTAATTTCTGAGTTTTGATTCTTCACAGCTGCTGCTTTGAAGTCTTAGATAACATTCTGAGCATTGCACACTGCTCCTGGTTTTAAACTTTTCATTCAGCTGCCAACATAGCTCTGTTTCTCTCAACTTTTTCAATAAATTGTTATATCTAATATTATAAAATGAATGTTTTGCTTTTAATCTGTGGACTCTTTTCTTAAAAGCTAGTAACTTCTGTCAAAAGGTTTATCCTCATTTTCAGTCCTTTCTTCAAAGGAATTTAAGTCTGTTACTCAGTTCAGGAGGATTCTGAATCACTGCATATTTCATATATGCATGAAAGGGAGATGGTCATCCTTGTGTTTGTGCCCTCTCTTTTACCATGTTTTATTTTACCCAATCCTGTCCAGGACCAGGAAATAGAGCTGTCAGTAACTTCTTCCTTTGGATAATATGGAAGTGTGCTGGAATAGTACACGTGTGTTGTGGAGAGGCTGTTAGCTGGAAACGAGCCGATGTAAATCCTCAGGTTTTGCCCTTGCTTACCCTCCAACACTTGATGTACAAGAGTGCATCTGAATCTGGACTGCAGGTCAACATCAGGGAAATGTTTCACAACCCTTAGATCTTTAGTTAGCAATATGAAAAATTTGGCCTGAAGGTTTTTGGGTTTTTTTTTCCCTTTTTCACATGGGCAAAAATGAGCAAGGATCTCACACGCTGAGCTGAGAGTGCTGCCAATCTCAAGACAGTAAGGATGTATGAATGGGGAGCTGAGGGCACTGTGGCTGGAGCACTACTGCAGGTATCCCCACTGTTTTCTCTCATCTGGGTGTGTTTTTTATGTGAAGAGTCCTAATCTTTTCATTCCTTAGCCCTTTCTGTGCAGTGTCCAGGGATGTGTTTATGCATATAAACACATGGTTCTGGAAGTTATTTACAACCACATGGGAGCACAGATGATGAAGACCTACAATTAGCACTTACAAATTGACACCTTGTCCAATTATACACACCAAATCAGAAAGAAATTACAAACCTTTGCAAACATTCATCTTCCTTCAGAGTTATGATATGGGGCAGAATTGTAATGAAATATGCTCATTATACAGAACTACTTACAGATATTAGCAGTGCCCTTAGGTATAGGCAGATAAGAACCAGGGCTCCACGGTCGGCCCTGATAATTCTTCTTGCATTTTCCACAGTCTGGGCCCGTTGTGTTATGCTCACATTCACAAAGTAGTCTTTTGTTTTCTTCTTTACAGCCAGTAGCATGAAGGTTGCACTTACACCTAATTTTAAAAAGCAAAAATAAAACAAAGTGGGATATTATTTAGAAGTGGGGTGAGGTTGAGCTCAAATTTTAGAAAAGCAAGTCCTATAGCATGGCTCAAATTCTGTGTTGTGCCTGTAGAATTGTTCTACCATGAAAGCATGACATCACAAGACATCACTGCAAAGAGCAAGTAGCAGGATCTTCAGCTCACACAGGTCTAAAAGCAGAAATGTCACCAAGACTTCAAGATGCTGAATCTTTTCTCATTTTCACAAATGCAGCTCCACTGAGAACAACTAAATGATTCACAATTTTTACTACCAGATAGGTCTATAATCTTATAATTTTTTAAAAATTCAAGAGTTACCATTCTCAGGAACAAAACAAGCCCTCTGCTTATGTCTAGAACCTGATGCAAACTAAGGTTCGAGTTAGGCCTTGGGAGCCTGAGAAAACAGACTTCATTTAAGTATCATCTGTAGTACCACACTTCAGCAGAAGGAATCCTCACTATGATGGTATCTTGCCATCCTTGTTCAGCAAGTACTGTCTTGTTCAGAAAGGAAATTTCTTTCCTGCTTTAATTCAACATAGATGTAGTAGCTGAAGGTCAGACAAAATATTTTGGTAGGCACATTTAGTTTTTCTTGGGAAAGAAACCTAATCAAGCCTTGTGACAAAATCATTAGATAAACCAGATTCTGCATCTGTTCTTAAAACAGTTGTATTTTCCTTAAATTCCCCTCTTTTCCTGAGACTAAGAAACGGAATGGGAAGTTAGTTTCATAAACAGTAAGGTATTTTCACCTCTTTCCATCCCTTTCCAACAGATGTCAAAACCAGCTAAAATGTATTTCTGTTTGGGGCTGGAGAGAAAACCGATATTTAATGACCTTTCCTGTTTGTTTTCCTAATGACAGTACATCTAATAATTTACAGGGTTCTCATGTGGGCATTTGTCACCTGTTCCATACAGTGACCAATAATTAGAGCAGAACAACATGTGCAATGGCCAAGTGCAAATTAACAGCTGTCAAGCTGACTTCCATTTGGGAGGAATGTGACCTGAAGCAATTTGCCACATACATATATATCCCTAGGGTAAACCAAGCTTGCAGTTGTCATAAGTAGCTGCTGGAGAAAATCCACAAGAATGTGTAATACAGTAGATGGTGGAGCATTCCCCTCAGTGCTAGAAATGAGGCAGAAGAAACTGCTGTTATTTGAGCCATGCTTGTTCTAAAGAGAAACCGGTTCAATACCTTTAAAATTGAAATTACCAAAATGTATCTAATATGCTGGACAAGAGAAAGAGAATAATTTTTACACAATTTACAAAATATGCGTGCTTGAAGACTAAATCAATTGTGAATTTTCAGTGAGTAGCCAAAGCAGAATGAAAGATGCCTGTTTGGGCATCAGTGGATGAAATCTCTCTATTCACTAGACACTGAACATTTTGATAAAGGGTACTGTTATTAAGAAAAGCCATGGGTTGTTTTACTGTCCACAGGAATTTGAAAATGGAAGACATCAAACAGGAGAGATATACAGCAAGAACTAGACCAAAAAATAGAGGAGAAAAGCAGGAGAGGCTGTCGAGTAACTAGAACACACTAGAGAGAAGAAGAGACTGGATTTCTTTCAGGAGGATTCTTGCAGGATTTCTTTCCCTGTTCTATCGTATGGACTCATCAGTGTCAGAGGCAGCAAACTGATCTAGGCAAGAGGAAAAAAGTGGTTGATTCTGAGGAAAAGCTGTAGTACCTAGTGCTCTGAAAGGGTGTTGCAGACTTGTACAGGAACTGAGGTGGAGGAATATAAAGGCATGTCCCTCTGCTAACTGGAGTAAATATGCACAGCTTTTTTAACAAGTGCCTGAAAATGAAGAATACTTGTGTCACAAAACCTTGTGCAAAATCTCTTTGCACTTCTGAGATGCTGTGCTTGTAATGTGTTCCTGAAGAGAGACTGACCTTTCCTTAGTTTTGCTTGCTTGGGTAGAAATCTTGGATGGACTCTTGCCTTCTCCATCCTCCTCTGCTTCTATCCAGTTCTGTGCCATTCCTCTTCAGATATATATGCAAAACATATGCCTGTATTTATATGTATGGATATATACATGCATACACAAATAACTCCCACAAAGCTTCACTATTTCCTTTTACTGCCCACTTTCCCTAATCCCACTGTGCCCCACCTCTTTACAGCCTGCTTCCTCCTTTTCCTGATTTCCCAGGCAAGAGAGCATGGGCAGCACAGCTCTGCTGCCTGTCCTGGTGCCCGGATTTTTAACTTTTTAGGGCAAGCCTGCTGCAGAGTCTGTGTCTCTCAGCTGGAGGTGCAGCACCCACAGCCACAGTGGGCAGCTGTTCAGGGTGCAGGTGGCAGGGCCCCGGCGCAGGGTCCCGCACAAGGCATCTTGTGTGACTGCAGCCACCAAGCCTCACCAGACACAGAGAATGAGACATCCTGGAGGGCTGTGTTTGTACCAGATACAGGCAGCTTTGCACAAAAACAGCAAAATGCATCTTCTAGAAGTAGCTGGCAACCTCCTGTCAAATTTTAAAACCCTATTAACTGAGATTTAAAACCAACAGGTATGGACATTCAGACTAAACACACAAAAATAGACAAAGAAGGGACAGTTTAGCCACTTAGCTTCCTAAATGGAAGGATTGCTAAATGGCTTTTCTTGTCCTAAACCAGTAGACTAATCAAAGATTAATTCAATCAATACCCTTATGCAAATGAACTTATTCATATACTTTATATGTATTTTTGAAAGCTTTCCCAGCAGAATTACCCAGAATGCTACATCCTGTTTTAAAAGAAAATTCCAAGTAACAATAAAAAACTGAAAAAAAACTCCCAAACCAAACCCCAAAGCATGCCTCCCCACCAAGGAAAAAAAAAAAAAAAAGAAAGAAAGAAGCAATGCAGAGAGAGGAGAGAGTAGTGTAGCCTTCAAGGAGTATGATTTAAAGAGAATAAGAGAAACAGTAAGTTTGATCACTAGAAAAAAAATAAAGGACTGATATAAAACTTTTATAGGCAGAGGATAGTCCAAATGTAGTGTTAATAACCGAGCCAAAACCAGCCAACAATTGGGAATTTCTAGAGAATCCTCAGAATACTTCAAATTTAGCTGTGTACACTTTCTAAGGAGAAGAAGGTAAGGAACAAATGTGGTCACTATGTTTTACTACAAGATTAGCTAAAATTAAGGTTAAAAATACATTTATATTAAAAATGTGACATTTGACTTAAGAGTTAGTTATACCAGGCAAAAAAAAAAAAAAAAGTTTAAACCCCCACCAAAACCTGAACCACAAAAGATCAGATAATGTGTGGTAAAAACTTTGCCTTCTTGGTGTACAGCAACAGAAAAGTTGGGTTTGGCTTATAATTATTAGTGTTATACAAGTATGAAAAAATCTCAAGATTAATCAAATCTGAAGGGATTGGACTGATTGTTAGTGTCAGCAACTATATATAAGAAGTAAAAGAATGGAACATAATTAAAATCAGACATTCAGTGGACTGAACCAGAGACTCTGATTCTCCTCTTGCACCATTTTTTTTGTTGAAGCCACTTGACAGATCTTGAAGAGATTGATCACAATTTCCACTGCAAATCAAGGACATAGCTGAATAGTGAATGTGTGTAAAATGCAGGCAGTGGTAAAACTGAAAGAAAACAAGAAGAATCTGTAGAAAGCAAACTGGAAGGTACCGTGTCTGGGGAAAACCAAGCCACTATCAAAATCTGTGGTGTATGTGGAGAGAGAAACAGGGAAATAATATTTCATATGCTTTTGGTTTTTTACGAAGGATGCACTAGGAATTGGGCAATCTGTCCCAGGGAGCTCATCAGAGTGTACATATGCACAGTCTCTGAGACTTCTGCAAAGAGAAATGCATGTTGTGCTTGAGGGACAGACTTCTCTGGATGACTGAAAGAGGTAAATGAGTGTAGCAGGGCTGAGAGATGACTAGAGTACAATAAAAGGCTGCCTCTATTTGCAGGATAGGCAGTAAGGAAAACAGGAGTATTTAGGGTTACAGAAAGAAGGCTATTTTGGTAAAAGCAGCACACAGACGGACCATGAGAGAACCACTCTTTTTATGAGATACACTGGGTTGTCAGTGGTGTGAAACAAAGCAGCACTGTCTGGACCTTAGGAATTTCAGCTGTCAATCAGTTGAGCACCTGATCATCATCTGGGAGCTGACTTGGGCTCACAGCAGATCACTCAAGATGTGCAATCAGCTTCCTATGGAGGATACCCAAATTAATCTCTTTCTTATGGAAGGTTACTTTTTTTTGCTACTCCAGAGGAAAATAAATATTTTGTTATCTTATATGAATGTCCATGGTGATAAATTATTACTGAAAAGCCCAGGTACCATTTGTAATTTCATTAAACACTTGCTTTGAAGGCTGATCCTAGCTGCTACTATGGTCAATCTGAAATACTAACAAAAGGTTTAATTACATCCAAAGCACATTCAGCACAAGAATCCCATAGCCTGTGTTGATGGTTCCATTGGCAGAATGTGGTTGCTTTGGCTGCTTCTCTAAGAATGGAGAAGGTCTGAAAACCTAAAAAACTGATTTCACCTCCAGTGTACCGAGTTCCATATGACAGTATTCCATGCCTATCTAGTTTCTTGAAATCCAGCGTAGGAAGTCCAAGTCCTCTACAGGGTATGGTGTACACACACCAGAAAGGCAATTACTGGGTAGCAGTGGGTGGGGAGCAGCTGCTGGCACACCAAGTGGGTTTGCCTGCACAGAGAAGGGATGACAGAGGGAGCTGTAATCAATACAGCAGGTTTGAGAGCACAGGTTAAGGTCTGGCGAACAGAAGAGGATCTGTGCTGCAGCCTCTGCACTGCACTGGCAAACAGCTTAAGGGCAAAATCTCATCTAAGGACACAGCAAATGTTAAGGGCAAAGTGCAGTTCTGAGATACAGTACATGCTCACTGTAAATGGCACTGCTGAGGTCTA